CCCCGCCTGCCCGTCCGCCTAGTGCGCCGCCGCTGCTGCCGGCAAGCTCCCGGCGCCCGCCCTCCGCGCCAGCCCCCGCGCCGCGCCGCCCCTCCCGCGGGCCCGGGGAGCCGCCGCCGCCGCCGCGGCGGCGCTCGGCCGAGCGGCCCCGGCTGGCGCCGCCGCCGCCGGCCCAGCGGCCGGGTGAGGGGCTGCGGCCGCGGCCGCGGCTGCGGCTGCGGCTCCGGCCCTCGTCCTCGCCGCCGGTGCGCTTCTGCAATTGTGCGATCGGCAGCGGGCGCGGAAAGCTTCATGAGATGCAGACCGGATGTCGATCAAGGTGGAGGCAGGCTTGCAAAAGGCCCACAAAATTGCCGCCCGCTGGCCGCACGGCGCAGCCAAAGGCCTGCACAGCTGCCCGCCGAGCGGCTGAGTGCCAAAGACGGCCAAACCGGACAAGCAGCCCCCACACCCGGGGGTCCATCATGAACCCTCAACCCTGGCCCCTCCCCTTGGCTTGCCGCCCTCACCGCGCGGATGGCGTTGAGGATCTGCCGCAGGTCATTGACCGGCGGCTGCTGCTGCTGCTGCTGCTGCTGCTCCTGCGCGCGCACGCCCAGCTGCTGCGCCTCAACACGCCGCGCCGCGCCGCCACCGCCGCGCTCCGCGCTGCCGCGCCGCCCCCGCTCCCTGCCGCCGCCCCGTGACGCGGGACTGCGGCTGCGGCTGCGGCCGTCGCTCGGGCTGCGACTGCGGCGGCCGCTGCGGCGGCCGGCGCCACGGTCACGGTCACGGTCACGGCTGAGGCTGCGGCGACGGCCGTGGCTGCGGCTGCGGCTCCTGCTGCTGCGGTGGCGGCCATCGCGCCGGTGCCCGCGCTCCCGCTCGTGCCCACGGTTGCGCCCCCGCTCCCGCTCCCGCTCGGCGCCCCCGCGCCGGCTGGGGGAGCGGCTGCCGCTGCGGGCGCGGGAGGAGCGCCTGCGGGACGGGGAACGAGAGCTGTTCCTGCGGGGGTGCGTGTATTTGGATTGCGAGGACGACAGCTGGGTGGGTGCGTGCAGGTGAAACGTGCATGCGAGAGGGGGGATCACGGCGTGAGTGGGCACGAGAGGTAACCGACGCTCGGCTGCCGCCAGCCCCGCCCCATCGGCGAGCGCCAACCTGTTGACACGCAGCCGCAGCCGCGCAGGACGGCCATCCCCGTCCCCGCAACCCCCTCCACGCACCTGCTGGCGTCCCCGCTCGCCCGCCCCTTGCTGCCGCGGCTGGCGCCGCCGCCCTCCGCCTTCCCGCCCTCCGCCTTCGCCGCCGCCGCAGACTCCGCCTTTGCCGCCGCAGCTGCAGCCGCGGCGGCCGCCTCTCGCGCCTCGCGCACGCGCTGCTGCAGCTGCTGCAGCTCCGCCACCGCGACAGGGTACTCCCGATCAAACGCGTCCCGCAGCGCGTCCGCGTCGCCCGGGGGCAGCACGTCCGCCAGGTGTCCGACGATCTGCTGCCAGGGCGGCCGCGCGGGGGGCGCCGGCTTGGGCGAGGCTGCGATAGGGGAGGGCAGGACGGGGGGACCGCGCGTGAGCAGGCGCGTTCCGCATGCACAGGTGAGCGGCAGAACCGAAGGGAAAAAGCAGCGGCCGGGCGCGAGGGGGAGGACGATCGCCGGCAGAGGCGGGGGGCGCGCGAGGCCGGGGCGCCGGCGCACCTGGCGCGGCGGCGCCGTTCCGTGTTGAAGGGGGAGGCGGGAACATCTGCTG